TTTTTTTGGAATTTTTGGTGCAAGACTTATGTTCCAACCTGATATTATCAAATCAAGTTACGATGAACGTGCCTGAGGGGACTCCCAATCTTCGTTGCGATCCCATATCCGAGGGTGTTTAAATTTTGCCCAACCTTCATCGTATTGCAAGGTTTGCGACCACCTTCATAATTGTTTGTGGTTTCTTCCAGTAAGAAAGCATATCGGCCCTAAATCACTTCTCAGCAAGTTCGAAAAAAACTTCTTACTGTGATATTGAAAATGATTTACACGGATTATCCAACCCACCTTACTCTTTCTCACTCTTTCAATGCCTTCTGCGTAGGTATCTACGAAGACCGATTCTGATCTAAACTTTGCTTTGAAATCACGGAACCTCAAACAATTTATTGCTCACACTTGTTTCTTCAAAAATTTGTTATGCTCGTCGAACATGAAGTCCCACATCTTCTTGTACAATGGAACTGTGGAATCCTACAAATATAGTAATGCTGGGGTTGGGAAGCATGTTTTATACAATCGTTGCTGTTACTGAACATCCAAACCGACCTCAAAGAAAGCCGCAGTTGAACCTCCCTTCACAACTCCATAAAGAATTTTGTTTTGGTTGGCAAGATCCTCTACTGATTCGATGGGTGGTGTCATTTTCTCTAGAACAGGAGACAACTGATTTCAAAGATGAAATCGGAATCTTTCTCAGTGGTTTTGAAAGCTCCGTATGGCCGATGGTGCTATTCTGTCCTAGAGTAAAACTTTTTCGTAAGGCTCCCGGATAAGGCTTAAATATCTGATTGTTTAGACAATTTCTGGAAAAAAGTGAAGGAGATATTTTTCCTTCATTTCTCAATAATATAACGGACTTCCAATTACTTACTAGCTTCATATGGTCTAGGTCAATCAGAGTGAAAAGAACATATCCCAAATTTCAACTAAAGTCCTCAGATATGAAGAAGATCAAAAGAATAATGGTGAATCATCTGCAAGCGCAGAATTTCTCCATTCTATTCCATTTTTCTCAAAAACAGATACTTTTATAAATGATATGTAAGGGATGATACCGGAGAAAATAGCGTACACAATTAACTATTATTTTCAAAATAAATGTTTGCAACGGGCGGCTCTAGTGGAGATCAAAGGGCGGTCTATGCTCTGTATTGAAGAACTGCTTACCCAAGGTTAGGAAAGCTGCTAAGTTTGCGGTGTAGGATGACACAATAATCAATGTGAAGAACCACCAAG